GAATTTCATGTTAATTCTGCTGGGGGCCAATAAATGAGGAATTTTATTGTTTGTCACAAGGTAGTTTTAGGTCACGCCACAACTTGACCACAAGAAATTAATAACATATCAAATTACAAGCTCTTAAACAAAGTGGGAAGCAAAAAAAGGAAAATTATGAAAAAGAAGTTTCACATTCTCTTTCACTAGCTTAGTCAATAAAAGTTTAAAACAATACTAAAATATAACAGTAATTCAAAACTATATACCTTGTGGCCAGAGATGGTGATTGAAAAAGAATGTACTAGAATTTCTCATATTCTACTTTTCAGTTATAACAGGAAGATATTGAACCAGAGAGACCTTATGGGCTAGATATGGACAAGGCAGAAGTTAGGAAGCAATCCTCAAAGCAATGGTAATTGGTAAGTAATCAAGCTTATTTACCAAAAAAAAATGGGTTTTATATGATATCGGAAATCACCTCATGTGCTAGCAAACTTTGGTAAGGATGAAAGTTCACATCAGAACACACAGACAAGTGAGGATAAATTTTTGTACGACTAAAAATGAGAAAGAACCTGGAGATGTCCTAAAGCATTTTGTGCACGTGGCTCAGCCATAGAAGCTTCAAAATCAATATAGAATAGGTAGTCAAAATACCTGCAACAAGCCAGTCAATCAAACCACCAAGCAGAGGTTACCCAAATTATCATCACACATAAAGCTTAACATATTACCCTTGAATAGGAGATATTGACAGATTGGCAAATTGAAATAATAAAGTTTGAGGATGAAAGAAAATTATATCATCAAAACACAACCAAGTAATTTAACAGGCAAACATAAATATGCTGGTGTCAACTATCTCAAATCTATATATTTGTGAACGTCAAGTTTACTTTGGCTGAGAAAAAAACATCAAGTACTTTCATGTTCATAAATGGAAAAAAAAAAACACCCACACAAAACTTGCCAGTCATCTTTAAAAACTGGTTTATTTACGCTAACCACTTGTTTTTGTGTTAGCAGACATATGCAGTAGGTTGGCAAATGTACCCAATGTTCATTAACCTGTTCTCCATACCCAAAAGTAATCTAAATTCATGATCCTTACAAGGCCAGCAGGTTACCAACTGAAAAGGTATATCTACTTACTGGAATGTTTTGTTCCAAGAGAGAGCAATTACTATACAGAGAGAGAATAGGAGTTAAAATTTTTCCAGTGCAAGCATAATAATACTAGTTGTTAGACGTGAAAAAAGAAGAAGAAGAAGAAGAAGAAGAAGAAGACAGAGATGCTCATATTCATGCCTTCGCCACATTTAAGTGGCATTTCTACATTATTTTGTGAATACTTTAAGTTCACAGATAATTCTTCCTAGCTACCATGATTTTGTGCAGAAATCACTAAAATCTACAGCTTAAAACCATCAAGCAAAATGATAGTATAGGTCTTTGAACTGTTTATGGAAAATTAATACTCACTTGGCACTTCCAGTGTTGGAGTCATCAACAACTCTTAATGGTCGTTTTCTTTGTGGTCGACTTTCAATCTGAAGTTGTTTTAAGAACAATTTATCAGCAGGGCTATGGTACATGGCAGACTGGGACAAAATAAGGAGTGAAGAAGAAAAAGAAAAAGAGCTTAAAGGTACCTTGGTCAAATTTATGTCCCTCAAGGCAAAAACTGCCAATGCCTTGAACAGTACTCCAGGTCCTTCTTCCAAAGTAAACACAATGCTTGTCTAGGATTGACGATTATGATACCTAATTTAGGAACCTTTAATTGAAGCATGAATGAATTCTATTGAATAAGAAAAACACTTACCTTGAAGGATTTATCAATCCTTGGAATTATTGGATCCCTAGCCAGTACCAGAAAACGAGTAACATTCTCTAAGTCATCCTGTACAAGCCTAGCAAGTTTAGCAAACAAAATAGCATTTCTTACAAAACCAAAACATGCTACTTGTTTCAAGTATCTTTCAAA